CTGGGGTGTTAGTAACATGATGTGTAACCTGGGGTGTTAGTAACATGATTGTGTAACTGGGGTGTTAGTAACAATGTGTAACCTGGGGTGTTAGTAACATGATGTGTAACCTGGGGTGTTAGTAACGTTATGTGTAACCTGGGGTGTTAGTAACATGATGTGTAACCTGGGGTGTTAGTAACATGATGTGTAACCTGGGGTGTTAGTAACATGATGTGTAACCTGGGGTGTTAGTAACATGATGTGTAACCTGGGGTGTTAGTAACATGATGTGTAACCTGGGGTGTTAGTAACGTTATGTGTAACCTGGGGTGTTAGTAACATGATGTGTAACCTCGGGTGTTAGTAACATGATGTGTAACCTGGGGTGTTAGTAACATGATGTGTAACCTGGGGTGTTAGTAACATGATGTGTAACCTGGGGTGTTAGTAACATGATGTGTAACCTGGGGTGTTAGTAACGTTATGTGTAACCTGGGGTGTTAGTAACATGATGTGTAACCTGGGGTGTTAGTAACATGATGTGTAACCTGGGGTGTTAGTAACATGATGTGTAACCTGGGGTGTTAGTAACAGATGTGTAACCTGGGTGTTAGTAACATGATGTTAACCCGGGGTGTTAGTAAAGTTATTGTAACCTGGGGTGTTAGTAACATGATGTGTTTAAACCGGGGTGTTAGTAACATGATGTGTAACCTGGGGTGTTAGTAACATGATGTGTAACCTGGGGTGTTAGTAACATGATGTGTAACCTGGGGTGTTAGTAACAAAGATGTGTAACCTGGGGTTTTTAGTAACGTTATGTGTAACCTGGGGGGTTAGTAACATGATGTGTAACCTGGGGGTTTAGTAACATGATGTGTAACCTGGGGTGTTAGTAACATGATGTGTAAAACCTTTGGGGGGTTAGTAACATGATGTGTAACCTGGGTGTTAGTAACAGATGTGTAACCTGGGGTGTTAGTAACATGATGTGAACCTGGGGTGTTAGTAACGTTTTTGTGTAACCTGGGGTGTTAGTAACATGATGTGTAACCTGGGGTGTTAGTAACATGTGTAACCTGGGGTGTTAGTAACATTATGTGTAACCTGGGGTGTTAGTAATGTTATGTGTAACCTGGGGTGTTAGTAACATGGTGTAACCTGGGGTGTTAGTAACATGATGTGTAACCTGGGGTGTTAGTAACATTATGTGTAACCTGGGGTGTTAGTAACGTTATGTGTAACCTGGGGTGTTAGTAACATTGTGTAACCTGGGGTGTTAGTAACATGTGTAACCTGGGGTGTTAGTAACGTTATGTGTAACCTGGGGTGTTAGTAACATTATGTGTAACCTGGGGTGTTAGTAACATTATGTGTAACCTGGGGTGTAACATTATGTGTAACCTGGGGTGTTAGTAACATTATGTGTAACCTGGGGTGTTAGTAACATGATGTGTAACCTGGGGTGTTGGTAACATTATGTGTAACCTGGGGTGTTAGTAACGTTGTGTAACCTGGGGTGTTAGTAACATTATGTGTAACCTGGGGTGTTAGTAACATTATGTGTAACCTGGGGTGTTAGTAACATTATGTGTAACCTGGGGTGTAACATTATGTGTAACCTGGGGTGTTAGTAACATGATGTGTAACCTGGGGTGTTAGTAACATTGCGTGTAACCTGGGGTGTTAGTAACATTATGTGTAACCTGGGGTGTTAGTAACATTATGTGTAACCTGGGGTGTTAGTAACATTATGTGTAACCTGGGGTGTTGGTAACATTAGTTAAACCTGGGGTGTTAGTAACGTTGTGTAACCTGGGGTGTTAGTAACATTATGTGTAACCTGGGGTGTTAGTAACATTATGTGTAACCTGGGGTGTTAGTAACGTTGTGTAACCTGGGGTGTTAGTAACATTATGTGTAAGCTGGGGTGTTGGTAACATTATGTGTAACCTGGGGTGTTGGTAACATTATGTGTAACCTGGGGTGTTAGTAACATTGTGTGTAACCTGGGGTGTTAGTAACATCATGTGTAACCTGGGGTGTTAGTAACATTGTGTGTAACCTGGGGTGTTAGTAACATCATGTGTAACCTGGGGTGTTAGTAACATTATGTGTAACCTGGGGTGTTAGTAACGTTGTGTAACCCGGGTGTTTTGTAACATTATGTGTAACCTGGGGTGTTGGTAACAAATTTTGTGTAACCTGGAGTGTTAGAACATTAGTGTAACCTGGGTGTTAGTAACATTATTGTAACCTGGGTTTTTAGTAACATTATGTGTAACCTGGGTGTTAGTAACATTTGTGTAACCTGGGGTGTTAGTAACGTTGTGTAACCTGGGGAGTTAGTAACATTATGTGTAACCTGGGGTGTTAGTAACATTATGTGTAACCTGGGGTGTTGGTAACATTATGTGTAACCTGGGGTGTTAGTAACGTTGTGTAACCTGGGGTTTAGACATTATGTGTAACCTGGGGTGTTAGTAACATTATGTGTAACCTGGGGTGTTAGTAACATTATGTGTAACCTGGGGTGTTAGTAACATTGTGTAACCTGGGGTGTTAGTAACATGATGTGTAACCTGGGGTGTTAGTAATGTTGTGTAACCTGGGGTGTTAGTAACATTATGTGTAACCTGGGGTGTTGGTAACATTATGTGTAACCTGGGGTGTTAGTAACATTATGTGTAACCTGGGGTGTTAGTAACATGATGTGTAACCTGGGGTGTTAGTAATGTTGTGTAACCTGGGGTGTTAGTAACATTATGTGTAACCTGGGGTGTTGGTAACATTATGT